TGAGATGAGCATGAGGAGTATTGATTGAGAGCAGGAGGCTAAACAGAAAGCAGGAGGGATAAACACGATCTAGCATAGTAGGGATGATAAGAAGAGCTAAGACCTCTGGCTGAACCATATATCGACTGTCAAAAGAGACACCCAACTAAGGGATGACAATGGAAAAAAATCCCAAATCATAAATCCTTGGTCACACTAAAGTGGCACTGAATCTAGATATGGGCAAAGGACAGAACCATGTATAAAAATCTATAATTTTTTTTTAATAATTGTACTCATGGTATTGTGGACAGGGGATGATATCCCACAGGATGTTGCTGTAGAGTTAATTCATTCATTCATCTTCTAAACCTACTTGTTCTCTTTTTAACCAGCTTACTTCAGGTGAGAGGTGGGGGTACACCCTGGACAGGTCACCAGTCCATCACAGGAAAACACACACATTCATTCACACATTCACGCCAAAGGGGAATTTAGATTTTTCGATTAACCTGACGTATGTTTTTGGGATTCCGGGGGATATCGGAGAACCCAGTTGTAGAATTATTAAAGGTTACAGTTGTTACAAAAGGAAAGTTAAAAAATAGAACAAAAGCAACAAGTACAACTTCTATGATAGGTATTGTCAGTGTAAGATCCACCAAACCTTCATGATCTAGCATGAATAGGGTTATCTTATCATGCCATTCGGAATCGCAAGATAATATCAAAATTCAAATGCTTCAGATTGTCCTTGGAAGTAGTACTCTATCTGGGTGAAAATTAATATAAGATAAGATAAGTTACTTTAACCAAAGCCAATGATGAACTAGATTGAAGGTTAGGGTGGACATGTTTAAAAAAACGAATAAACACAAAGTGTTCAAATGAACCATACACTCCCTGAAACCTGGGATTTTCTAAGAAGTACCAGATTCGTCCATACCCCTCCTTTTAATTTAAGTATACGAGCTGAACTTCATTTTAAAAACTACAAATGTCAATCCTCCTCCTCCTCCTCCTTCTCATTCCAGTGGGATTCTCGGTTACATATGAGAGGATCTCCAACATCTGCTCAACAGCTGAAGACGTCTGACAGATGTTCAGAGAGGGGAGGCAACGTCTGGATAAAACCTCCACACCCACCATCATTTGTTTATGTTAGAATTAGGTATGAGTCAATTTACAGCAAATGCTGGAAGCCACAAACCCCGCCCACTTTCACCCAGCCTACTGACACATAACACCTCTAACCTTTGCAGGCGAGTATTTGTGGAAGGTATGAAAAGAAATCGAAATGTCTTGGCAATCAAGGTGCATGCCGCCATCTCCTGTGATCTTGGTTTCTTAAGTGGATATTTTTCTTTAATCTTACCTTCCTTCCTAATCCAGCTGAATGAACAAAGACTGGAAGAATCTGATGAAAAGCCACTGGTGGATTTATATCCACAGTGTGTAAACACAGTGACTCTGCAGCACTTAGTACATTGCTATTTTATTAACTGAGCAAATATTGACTTAAGCGGTTGTGCGAGTATGGGCTGTGATCGGTTCAAACGAGCAAGGATGAAGATTTTAATGAGAGATTGTTCATCTAAAGAAAACCTCAAAGCTGACTGCAACAGAAACCACTAGTTTAACATGTTTATAAGGGTGCTGCTGTGAATTGCATGCATCAGGACAAACCCCACCATGCATCAGGACAAACCCCACCATGCATGATCCAGACAGCAGAAGAGGTCTGTAAATACACCCCTATATAGAGATAAAATTACACATGGACTAATTGAAACATTATCATTTTTAATAAAAGGTTACCTGGCACTAAATGATGCTATTTTTAGTTATTTAGATTAGACTATATTGGACCTATATTATTAGAATAGAAACAGTTGCAGTTTGAATATGAGCCACACATATATAAAAGTTCCGCATTTGGAACAAATATAATCATCCGCTCATAGGTACAAAAATTAAATGTCCACATATACAAAACTGCTTGTTTCTGTTTAATGACCCTGAGCTCAGGATTTTATAGGACACTTGCTGGAATACTGTCTTCAATCTTCAAGATTCAAAATCCACCAGTTTACCTGAGGTCCACACATAGGTAATCTTTAAAATTATGTCATTTTATGCACATAAGGCACATAAGAGTATTATTTTACTCAACATCTTTTTTTTGTAGCACTTGTACAACATGAAAATCTTTTAACATATGGCTAAAAGCCTCTACATTGAGAATTCAATTTCGGTGGCTTCTGATGGCTTCTCAGCAGGGTGATTTTTGTCTGCGTCAAGGAAATATTGGTGCAATGACGCTCCCTGCCTGAAGTTGGCGTTTGCGCTACAACAGATGCCCACCACAGGGAAACAGAAAAGAACAGCAAGAACAAGACGACAGCGAGGAAATCGTGGATGTCGATAAATCATTATACTGTTGGTGGCTGATCACAGTGAGCTATTTGACTAAAATGTGGAGAAAAGGGAGGATTTTTGGTACTATATCCTGTTTCCTGTACAAAGTCATTGTGAAAATGTGGGATAAGTGCCAGCGAGGGGCTCTTTTACCTCCTCATCACTTCATCAAAAGCCTGCTTTCATTCGATATTTCGTTCCGATGTGTAATGTCCCGTTGACGCCTATGGTTTAATATCGAGGAGGGTTGGAGCACGAAACTTCGCAACGAAAATTCAGGTCATTGTGAAGATGCCTAAAGGCGTTTTATAAAATCTCAATATCTCAACAAAAATAAAATTTAATGATATACAGAAAAGAATATGATCTGATGAAAAGAATGTGGGATGAAACCCACATTTAAACTGACCAAATGTAAGGAACTCACATCTGAATTGGTTCCAAACACAGATAGGAAACCTTTGTTAAATTATTAAATTATTAAAGATATTTGTGTACCATTATTACTTTTGCAATGCAAGTAATCATTATTGTTACAATTTATCACAGAATTTATATTTACATTCCAAAAGTGTTTTGGTATCTGCTGCACATACTTCTTCATGGGGCGGGAGATGGAGATTTTGGGGGTGGGATTAAAGCCCCTCAACACACTTTTTAGGGAAAATACTGTATACTGTAAATGAATTCAGAAAGTCGGCTTATCCCACAACTCTTAACTAGTCCATTACCCAAATTTGAATACACATACTGAACAAATCAAATGTCTTGACCCGGAATGATTTAGCTGTGAAATCTGCAAACAACTGTCGGGTAGCTCCCCACTGCTTCAATGCATTAGATAAAATAGCGATGAACAAAGGCAGGAGACACAAAGAAGCTTCTTCTTATAGAGCACCTCAGCACTCTAATCATTTGGGAGTTTCAGTTGATTTCCAGATGATGATGTCCCTGACTTTGAAGTCGTTTCACACTGGGGAGCTCTCAGAGGCACAAACAGAGATGCTGCTACGTTTATCATCTTCTGTTTCTCTTTATCTCTTGCCCTTTCACTCTCAATCTCCTATAAACACACTGACAGAGCTGGTGCAGAAATTTTACAAAGGTGTGCAGAGCCTGGCGGGTTATAAAGTATCTACAGCAGATTTGTTTATGACTGAAACAATCTGCTCCACTTAAACTTCCTCTAGTTACACAACATTTCTTCATTCAGTGAACTTAAAAAAATTGTGAAACATCCACAACCATCCCTAGATCAGTTTGTTTGTGATGAGAACATATTCCAAAACAATGTGAACAAAAAAGTAAAAATGTATTTTTACTTATTCAGTGACTTCATTAAGCTGTACAATGGGATGACCTGATGTGTTAAGCTGTGGGTGTATACTCTTCGTCAATCCTTTCCCTTTCCTCTGTGTGTGAATGGCCCATAATAGCACGTCAAAAACACTAGTTGATGGTGTGGTTCTATGTTATGCTTGGTGTCATATATCACTTAAACTGCAATTAGATGTTTATTCTGTTATTTTTCTTCCTCTTTTTCTTTCTTGAGTTTATGGAGGAAACAAACGGATATGACGCTACTCCCGTGACACAACACCAGAAACCCTTAACTGCTAAACTGACCAATCACAGAGCTTAGAGTCTTCATCTACATGGGCAGAAAAGGTGCACAAAAAGCTACGGCAGAGGGGTCAGTGGCTTTGTACGTCTCTAGTGTTGGTTGTGGGAAGGCTTGATGAGGAAGCATAAGTGCACCTTAAGTTGAGAATAATGCTTGAAGCATGCTAGATTTTCAAATGTCCGCATTCATTCATTCCAAGAATATGATAAGCTGTAAGAAAGCGTTGCACTAGGAGGGCTCTAGGAGTAAAAAAAGTTTGAAAATAAGGCTTTTGACTTAAAGTAGCGACCAGCGTGGTATTATTATGTGTGTTTGTTTATAGCAAGTGTGCCACGTTGCATCAAATGCCAATGTTTTCCAACTATGCAGTAGTTTTATTAAAATGTGTCACACCAAATTAATACAACCTTTCATGGCTCATTGGTCTAGGGCAGGGGTCCCAAACTCAATTAACCTAGGGGCTTCAAGAAGCAGAATCTGGGTGAAGCTGGGCCACATCATGTTATACACAATAAATGCACTACGTAAAAATTCTCTTTATATTTATATAAAAATCTCTTTATATGTTTTGCAAATAAGACACGTTGGGGTACCCCTGTGCTCAACAATGAAATACTGCATTTCCCACTTTTCCTGAAATTGTCTGTGCTCATCACCATCCTTTCTCTTCACTGCATGCTTTGAAAAAGACATGTTTGAGACTGTGTAATGTATAATTGCACTTGGTGTCACTGTCGGATTAAAGTTTCATTTATCTGACGCATGGAGATTGCATCACTTATTGGTGCAACCTTAAATTGACTCCAGGTTACCAGGGACTGTTATTGCAGAAGGACAGGTATCTCTGTCACAGGTATCACCCTCAGGATAGGGGTTGTGCCTAAGTCTTTTATCAGTGATATCAGTGAATCTCTTAATAAATGTGTTATGTAATAATTCAATTGTTTTCAAATCTCTTTATATTTTTTTCAGGTGCGAGTTGAGACCCCTGGTCTAGGGGTATGATTCTCGCTTTGGGTGCAAGAGGTTCTGGGTTCAAATCCTGGATTAAATACACACCAACATTTTCCAACCGATTCAATAGTTGGTTTGATAAAACGTGGCACACTAAACCAATGAATATTTCATTGGATTCTTGCTCAGTGTGCAAGAGGTTCTGGTTCAAATTATGGAGAAGCTCTTCTTTGATGCAACGTGGAACACCAAACAACTAATACCCCTAGGCAATTAATAAATAAATACAATTGATACTCCTCTGTTCAGGAGGGTTCTGGGGCAAGGGTTCCGCACTAACCAATCAAATCCATAATAATAAACATCATAAAATTTCAGAAGTACTTAGCCCCTCAAATCTCTTTCCAGGATCCAGGATCCTAGTTTTCTAGTAAGAGCAAAAAATGAAAGAGATGAATCACTTGAGATCTCATGTCCATTAAGCATGTTCATACATAATGTAGTCATGTAAAGTACTAGTAAATGAGTTGTGACATGCTTAACGTAGAGGAAATGTAAGGTCTGTGGCGCGTAAAAGTGAAAGACTTTAAGACTCCATAAGAACTAATGTACATCAAAACATCAATATGTGATTAATTCGCCTACATGTAAATGCAGAACCATTTCACTGTAAATTACCATTACCCAAAAAATTCTTGGTTCTATGTTGTGTAGATGACAAAACCTTACCATAAAAACTATGCCGAAATCTATTTTTGAGGAGCCAAATGGACTTCTAGGTTATAAAATGGACAAAACTTGTATTTACACTAAACATTTATGCATTCATACCAAAACAACACAGGGTAGATGTGTTGACAGGAAAGGGAAGTACAAACAATTCAATATTCAATGCAATAAGTGACAACAAAGTTATTACATCATTGTGGTAAAACCTTTGCATTTGTAATGGAAGAACATGTAAACTCTATTAAAGACCTCTACACACCTGTCCGCGCGAAGGTGCCTTGGTTGAAAACCAATGGCGTCAATGGGAGCTCACACAACTGAACAAACCAGTGGTGCAGACGAAAAAGAGTTTCACAATGGCCTTTCAGTTGATTTTTCACCAGGAAAACCACCAGTGAAAGCTGGCTCTTTTGATGACTTGTGACGTCTGGCTCTTTTGATGACATAAGACAGAGCAGCTCTGTGGCGCTGATCCGAAGAGAAGGAAGGAATTGCCCGGCCCTACCAAAGAGTCAATTGTTGTTGTCTTAAATCTGAACTTCGGAAATCCATGCTCTTTCAGAAGTTTAAATAATATGGATTCAGGTTGGGTGCTGGATTTTGATGTAGAATAGGTCAGACACTCAGACTACATAAAAAGAGCTGCTTTTATAAATAACGGTTGGACAGAGCCTTCCAAATCTGTCCAATCCGGCATTCACTCTAACCAATACTTCATGCTGAATTTTAAAAGTCTAGTGATGAGATATGCAACAATGTTTTGCCACATGTAGTACTTGACTGTAATAAACCAAACCACAAAGACACAAATCCCTCCATTCATCTCAGCAGAAAAAAAAACCCGGAAATGTCCTTTTCAAGCAGCGGCTCTCAGTATGTTCTAGAAGTGTGCTCCATTGTTTTAAAGTCACACCCTTTTTATTACAAAGGTACTGACATGCTTGTGCAGTGGCAGGGCTTAGCTGGCAGCCGTCTGACTGCCCTTTGCCCTCACGTTATTGTACTTTCAGCTGCTCTGGCCTCTTGTATGTCCATCTGGATAACAATGGGGTGTAGACTAACCCCACAGACAAGCAGAACAGGCGGTACCCACTCAGGACAGTTAAAAAAAAGACCTTTCAGCTGTCTTGCATGAGCAGTGGAAGTCCAACAGTCACTTTGACAGGTGTCTGACACCCAAAGGGAAAACTCTCTAATTATATCGTCATCCCCATCTTTTTTTTTAGTGCACATAAAGATTTCATGTTAATAAAGGAATTTGTGGATCTAATAACACCACCTTAAAACTGTAACACTTTTAAATTGATTACAATGTAATGAAGATGTTGTAACAAGGGGTGTCATGGTAAACCAACGTAGAACCTAGTTGAACATACTGTAAAGTCTCAATATTATCTTCCAACTGGTACTATTAACTATAAAGCACAAACTAATGGCACTAATTGTGGGGAACACTTGAAAGGCTCATGAATCGATGCAGATTTTCCACCGGGTTTTTGTAGCGGAACAGTTCACCTTCCAAGATCGTATATGAGTGGCTTATTTTAGACGTCCCTCAAGATGCATCACTCCTCTACATCATTCTTGTTGCTCATGAAACTACCCACAACACCACCATATAAACCAAAAGAAGTGGTTGTGTACTGATTGATTCTTTCAAACCAATCAGTAAGCTCAACAACAATCACAGAAAAGTATTGCCTTGGCCCATTTTGGCCTCTTATTAGAACCTCATCCAAATGGCTGTGAAAAAGCAGCGCTAAAGGTAACAGAACCGAGTAGAGAGGGGAGGAACAAATACCCTGTGCACACTGTCTCTCCTTAGGTCATTTCCAAATTAGCAAACAACAAATTCAAAAGCTATAGGCAAATCAGATGAGTTAACGATTCAGTCAACACACCTACTAAAATAGATCCTTTTGAAGTCTTCTTATATTTCTTTTAACATGCCTTTATTGAAAAATATGAGGCTCTTGTAAGTGGTCAGAAAACAAAAAGCAGTGTATGATCTATTAAAAGGAACACTCAGTTTTTTTAAACATATGGTCCTCCATATGGCACCTAAGATGCTACGTTGCAATTTACAGTTGTAGAAGCTATTCAACTGTTCTCGACCTAGTGGTGGTACTTTTAGCATAGCTTAGCATAAAAAAAGATTCCAACTCGACCTGTAGCATTCTGTATAACGTGATCACACAATTTCCATATTCATACCATGTTTTCCCTATTTAAAACTTGCTTTATTTAGAGTTAAATTAAGTATCGTCTTATAATACCCGTGCAAAATGAAAGTAAAGAGATTGATTTGGAAACTCTTGATCAATTTATACTGAACATATCTGGGTTAGTCAGATTCCATGATCTATGCTGAAAGAGCCATCGTCATATCTGGAGAAACTTTTAGAAGTGTTTAAGATTAGATCCTAAAAGAACCAACACTTTACTTCTTTTAAGTATATAGATAGGAACTTCTTTTTCTAATGAATGTGTAGTTCATCACAGCACAAACCTTTATCTGAACATTGCTGAAGTTAATAATATTTCAAGCAGCCAAACACTGCAGCCTGCTCTTGCCATTTTTCACAGAAGGCTGTGACAAACTCCTCAGTCCCAGGCCTAAGCATTAGAGATCGATACCAGCCATCCCATTATTGATGAGGATGATGAATGTAAAGAGATTGTCATAATAAAGACATAACTACATGTTATTATTCGAAACCAAAGGATTGTGAAAATGTGCATATGCATACAGTTATTATAACACTGTAGTTATTACCATGTATATTAATATTATTTAAGCAGGACTGATATTTTATAATGTGTTCAAAAACACCTGTTTTTAGGTCCACTGGTATTCAGACAGACCTCGCAGCTTAATTAACGCTTAATTAATAGTAAACCCTATCATACCCTTATAACTCTGGTGGAAGATCTCCATCATTTGTTTGTGGGTGCACGTTTTACCATGGGCATCAAGCTGGTGAAACCAGATACCAATACTCCTACAATCTCCAAAAACTTCATCTCTGATTTATGTGCATAAACTACGAAAAATGCGCGTAAAACGAAAGCTCGGACACTTACCGAATAGAATGATACTACAATGAGTTCCTGTGCCGTCTTTTGTGTAATCCACAGAAAATATGAGGGGGGAATAGCTGCAGATAAATCTACATCAGAATTTATCCTCAAACTAACGTTCGGTTAGATGCACGTGGACTGAGGCGCTATGGATGGTCGTAAATTTTTGAAAGGGCCGTGAGAAACGGACAGATTTTGGATAATCTCAGCGTTTGTTATTCACTGAGCAGCAGCCACTGGCGCATAGACTGCGCTCCTCCCGCGACTCCACCCGCTAGCTCCGCCTTCTTCGAGCGCTCATTGGAGAACACGGTGGTTTATGCAAATTTCTCTTCCCGCTAGCGTTCAAGAATCTGGATGGCATAGCTTTTCTAAACAGCGGGTATTAAATACCGCCATCTAGAGGATTAAATGACGGCCATAGGATTATATCAATTATTTTTGATACCTACTAAATGTTCACAAAAGTCAGAACAAGAATATTTAGTTTATTTTTTTATTTGGTTCTAAGCAATTGTTTTAATGAGTAATAAATATTTGATGTCGCGCTTATTTTGAACATTTGTCCACAATGATTGTATTCGTGCAGATTTCAAATGCACAAAGACAAAGTAGAAAGAAATAAAATTATTATAAAACGATGTTTAATGCAAATAAGTGTAATTAATATTTGACCACTATCAAGAAAGACTTATAGGTGAAAACTGATTTATCTTGGAAACTGGTTCAACACCACAATTAAAGTGATGTAACATTATGATGAGGGGGATAGGACAAATGCAGCACATAAAATAATCAGAATATATGGTAAAATCTCTTTTCTGGAAGCGAGGGCATTAGAAATATTATAACAATGATCCAAAACATAACCGTGTGTTCCGGCAGCTCAAGTATCCAGACCTTAATGCTAACTTTTCAACTTACAACACATCATTATCAACACTTAAATGACCTGGAAAGAGTTGATAAAAAGATTTTGCAGATGTGAGGAAGCCATTAATAAGACACTCTGTCAACTGTGATTTGCATCATTCATCATCACAAAAAAAAAATACAGATTTGATTCATTTTAATGAAGTTAAATGTTTCATCATTAAATTAAAATTTTAAAAAGCTTGGCAATGATCTGAAACTTCAAACATTCCATGAATACAAATACAGAAAGCAAGTTGTTTGATTGGCATTAAATGGGAAAATGTTTGAGCTAAACAAAAACTAAAAATCTTTACTGGTCGTCACATTTAAAACACACAATAAAGTATTATAAATGAGGTTCAGTCATAACATG